CCCGCGAATGTATTCAATATTCACAAGTCAAAAAGGGAAAATGTATCCATAGACGATTTTCTGAAGGATTTGCTAGAAACAATCAGCATTTATCGGTTGTCTTTGTCTAGGCGTATTGGCAACGCTGTACGACAAATATTATGATGGTCAGACATTTTATGCGATACTCGTGGGCAGTAGCGAAACTACTTTAGATTATGCCTATTACCAGCAGAGGCAGCACCTGCTGGAGCGATTAATCTATTTGAGAGGAATTTGGTGAGGGGTTTTGAAAACCCTATTTTAAAATCGAATAAATCATCGTTTATGACTGAAATAGGATTCAAGTAATCCGTATTCGTTACATCTTACATGAATAATCAAAATATATCATATTTTTCGAATAATATAGATTTTACAGCAACTTTCAATGATTAATTCACTATTGTAGGAAAACTGTAAGTTCAAAAATTTTCAGAAAAATCAGGCATATTTTAATTCTTTGTTAAGAACTGCTGTGAGATTTTGACAAAAATTCATCGAACAGTTTTTGTGAAAACTAAAAAAAACCTATAAAAAAAGGAGTTTTAATTTTTTTTCTCAAAATTCGTTCGATAGATTTTCATCAAAATCTCACAGAAGTTTTCAATTAAAAACCTTGATATACCAGATTTTTTTAAAAATTTTTGAACTTGCGTCATATGTATTACTACCAACAATTTTTGCAGTTTTCTTTCGCGATTTTTGCACAGTTTTCCAAGAACCTTCGTCATCTATTCTTGTTAAAGACGAAGATGAATCCTTTGTTATATCCTGGGAGTTATTCAAATTGATTATTTCCGACAATTTATTTTTCGTTGTTTCTTCATGCAACGCACGTGAAAACTCGGTACTTTTTATTTTACTGGAACTCCCTTGTTTTGCTTGTATGGAATCACCTAGTTTTATATGTTTTCTTCTAGGTGATAACGCATTATTCTTATCAGCTTTTTGTATATCACTTGCCGATTCATTACTATCAGCCGTTTTTTGAACAGCTTCATTACCAGTTTTTACTGTCGCATTAGTTTGAATCGAGGTTTGAATAGACATATTATTTTCCAAATATATAATCTTTTCTTTCAACAGATTTGAATTCTCCTGTAAAATGTCATTCTTACTCTCTAGTTCTTGTATAATCCGTTTGAGTAGGGATATTTCCGTTTCATGTCCACACATATCATTTGAATTCACAGATTTCAGATCATCAACAGCGATATGCTCGCAAATAGTATTTTTTGCTTGACTAGATTTATCTAAGCAGCTGGGATGAAATATTTCCTTGCACTTAACACATATCACTTTGTTTATTACACATTTTTTACAATATTTACAATTGATACTCTCATTTTTGTCGGACTGACTTGAACACACGTCCACACTGAGCGGCATCTCGAGCGATTCCAAAAAAATGTATATAATGTAATATACAATATAATGGAGAGAGAACATTGTGTTTTATCTTTGAGTATGTCGAAGGAAATGTTTGCTTTCCGGATAAAGCTTGAAGCGGTCGTGAAAGCATGAGAAGAACAAGAGACAGTCGTCGCTACAACGACGCTAAGCATTGCTAGAGAATTCAACGACGATCTGGACAGCCCAATTTTCGGAGCAGACGGCGTGGAGTACATAGTGGTGAATTATAGGTTTTTCAAAGTGATCTTGGCTGAAGTTCTGATAACAGGCATCCTTGTAGTTTCGATTGAAATCATGGAAATTGTAAAAAAATATAGTCGGTCGCATTCGACAGAGGGTTATGATCAGATATATCATATAATGTAATATACATAAATATAAAAAAAAAATTGTGTTTCATCTTCAGCTATGTCGGGAAAAGTTTTTCCCTTCCTAGAGAATTTGTCGTCGGTACAACGACGCTAACCATCGCTAGAGAATGAACGGCGACCTGGAAACCATTTTCTAAGCGGACGGCGTCTTACATCGTATCGTGGTGAATAGGCTTTCAAAGTGTTTCTGGCAGTTGTTTTAATAACAGGCATCGTTGTGGTTTCGATTGGAATCATGATAATTTAAAAAAAATATAGACGGTGGCATTTGACAGAGGGTTATGATCAGATATAAAGGGTGATTTACGGTGGATGGCACATATTAGAAGTTTCTGGAGAGCGCAACTCAGGATTATCCAAAAAAATCGATGCTTCGGATAATTAGTTGTGTGGTATCGATCTGAAATATTTTCAGCGTTGCGACGTTGTCACTTATATTGAAAAGTAGCAACAACTTTGATTTTTTCAATTGAACACCCTGTATATCATTCCATTTCCTGATTCTCCCTGAAGAGTTGATTTCATCTATCACACTTGGGGTCTAGCGGGAATGGTAATAAAGATATAGGGTGTGAAATATCGAAATTTTTCAACATTAAGAATTTTTTGTGTCGAAAATATTCATAGTTGATCAACTTTTCATGCAATATCGATCGACATTTAATTGAAATAGATACAGGACAGTCAAAAATCTCAATTCTGAAGAAGAACATTGAATTACATCCTCCCGGAATCTATGTATCGATACGTATGGAAGACTAATAATGCAAGTGTTTCTTTCCGTAATGCTGATTGATTTCGATTTGGCCAGGTTGACACAACGGCACCTACAGACCGGTTTCGAGCTCTTTGATTCTCATCAGTGTAGGGTAGTCTCCAGTTCGAAGAACACCGGCTAAGCGTAACCTGGCCTAACAGACTCCAATCGACAATATTTTTTTGAAATTTTGTAGTATTTCCTTGCTTCTATGTGGTCTAGATAATGTTAAACTTGTTCGGCACACCTGTGCCACAGGAGATTCGTCTGAGACCATGAATATCATTGTATATTGTTGACCCTCCTACCTGTTTGCCTACTAGGTTTCTATTTAGAAAGACAATACCCAATAACAAGGTAACATTTTGAAAACTTCTCACCCACAATATCTTCTTTCCAGTATAAAGAAATGGGAGATCGAAAAGATCGATCAATTTTACTTTCAAGGGGGACACTTGAAATGTATATTTTTAGCACTCTTTGTTTAATTCCCTAGGAGCGGTAGATGGCATATCATTTTGAGGGACCTCCAATTCACTTTTCAACGGTACGCTAGTTTATCATTTCCTATTGAGCAGTTTCCGGAAAATGCCCTGTCAATCAGAAAACTTCTAGCCCTCAATATATTCCTACCAGTGAATGATATAAAGAATCGAAAAGACACGTAAATTTCATCGACTAGAAGTATCCGAACGTAATTCTTTGAATTTGAATTTGTTTAACAAATTACCAAAATATGTGCGCAACCTTGACCTCAAATATTTCAAAAAAGTTATCAAGGACCACTTTCTGAGATTATGTTATTACTCTGTTGAGGAATACTTATCTTCACCAGATTCATCATTCTCTCTATGAAAACAACTAAAAAAAAAGCTCATATTTGCTTTGCAAGTTACAATTCCAATTTTGTTTTTCTCTCCTTTTGTGAATTGAGGAAGAAAAATAAGTCCTCACGAATTATTGTTTTATATGTGGTACATTTCACTGTAAAAGTCTGTTTTATTTGCCAGAGATGTACGTGTATGACTTTATTCTGCATACTTTTAATGTGTTTTTTATTATCTACTACATTTAATATGTCCTCTGTACCTGACTTGCCAAAAACATAAGATTTGTAAATTGGTGAAATAAATATTCTATTCTATTCTATTCTATTCATTTTTGAAGACACTTCAAATGCATATTTTTGGTCCTCTATTCAATCCCTTAGGAGGTGTGAATGTTACCCTTACAACCGCATATCATATCATGGGGGTGGGATGTTTTCAAAACCCTAATAACACACTTATGTCCCATAGATATCCTTAGGACGTCCTGTCAGGACATTCAGGACGTCCATAGGACGTTTGAATTTGGTACCGTGGACGTCCATTGGACATCTGTGGGACGCACAAATGTCCCACTTGAGGACCAACTAGGGACGTCCTTGAGGGATATCCCTGGAACAACTATCGAATACCTAAATCCTACAGTATTACTCATCAAGCACTACAAAGGACATCCTTAGGACATCCATAGGACAACCTATCAGCAACGCTGAGGGATATGAATTGGATGTCCATTGGATGTCCCAGGGACGTACGAATTATTCCTGGATTTGAAGTTTTCTGGGTCCCTCTGGACCAGATCTTGCATAACTGGTTAGGTCATCCAGTTGAGTTGATGGTCCGTAGAAGGTCCCCAAAAAGTTTCCCACGGATGTCCAATGGACTTACGTGGAGGACATTGACGAGGAGTACTTATAGCCTACGAGCAATCATTCGTCGGCGAGGTGTAAGTTAACGTCCTCGCAGGGACAACATATTGAAAGTTCCGACTTGGACGTCCATTGGACGATATTTTTAGGACATTGGAAGAGTACAGTTCATGTACCAATCAGGACATCTGACGGATATCCCTAAGGGACATTCGAAGGATGTCCCTAAGGACATTCCGATTGTTATACGATCCTGGAAATATTAAGGGCGTCTGTGCAGAGATATTTGAAGGAATGTACTATCAGGGACATTTCATGGTTGTCTAGAAGGGACATTATATAAGATCTGAAGTCATGCCAGAATATGTACTACTCGGGACATCCGATGGATGTCCCTGAAGGAACGTTTAAATTCATATCCCATCAGAAACATGCCAAGGACGTCCTTGCATGGACATTCTACAATACGTACCACGTGGGACGTCTATGGGATGGTATTTCTAGGACATTTGAAATGATCTTCCAGCTGGGACATCCCGTGGACGTCCTTGCTTGGACATTGCCCCTGTATATAAAATCCAGTGATAATTGCAATGGTGCAATTTGCAAAACCATCTCCTATTTCTATTCGATGGGCATTCAATCATCTGAGGGGTTATCGATTCGAATTGGAAATAGCAATTATTGGCCTATCGATATCAAGAACACTCTATTTATATTGTTGTATAACCAACACGATCACCATTGACATAACTTCATCTTGACATCCTCTCAAACTCAACTTCTCATTTATTCATCCTTGCGTCAAACTATTCCTTTTGAAAATAATGCAAAATTCCAAGTGAAACAATAATAATATGAGTATAAGCATCTCTAAAACTTCACTATACAGTCATGCTGATTCCTTTGAGAACATTTCTTGCGAAAGTGATCAACAAGAAGAACTACTTCTTGAGGACTCTTAGCGACAGACCATTCTCTTTGAGAAATCGACAAAAAACTCGCGAGCAGAAAGTGAAGAGGATCCATAGACTCGGTTTGGCTGGAATAGCGACGATACTATTTTCTTCCTACTACCTCACAAGGAAAAATAACGAAGATGTGGAGCTTGGGGATCTGGAAGAGAAAAAGGCGCTAGGAGATTTGGTATGCCAAATGGAATCATTTGTATTTTCAGCATGAGAAAAACTCAACATAAAAATGCTTCCGGAATATACGAATGAATCCTACTTTCCGAACCTGAAATATCAAAATTACCCGTGGAAAGATTAGGTGAACCTTCATTTTTGGAGACTAGGCACAATCATCTGAATTAAAATTTGATGTACCTACCGGATCATTTTAAAAGGGATGATGTCGAATATTACTTTCTTGGGAATACAAATTCAACAGCGATGAATCATTGAGGCCAAATTGATTGTTAAGTAACCAATGTTGATTAATACATTTACATTGTTTTTAATGCTCATCTTCTGCAAGACTATATGACAAGTGAGTTTCTGATTTATTCAACGTTTTTGTTCTGACATTACCAAATTAATTTTGACCTCACATTTTTCCATATATTACAACTGTGAAAAGAAAATTCACTTGTCAAATACTTTCCTTGCTATTCAATGAATTAATTGTATACTATAGCCTGAGTCTTACTCATTGATATTGATTATTATACTAGGGATAAACAACCATTCCTCTAACCAAAAATGATAAATGACAATGCCTTGTAAGAGTGTAGCAGTGAGCGTGGTCCCAATCATATTTGGTTCCTCCACCAACGTACCAGAACTCCCACGTTCTATCTACTACTACCAAAACTCATGATTCTGTGTCCGATCCAATAGCAGAGAGCCACGGCCAAGAAGAGTCCCTACGCGACAAGTACAACTCCATCAACAAAGTGTTGAATCGATGCACAAACGATGACATACTGTGTATAAATAATTGATGTTATATGTATAGTTTGAGTAGTCGAAAGTTGAAGGGACATAGAAACGAAATGATAAATGACATGCCTAGAAGTAGTGTACCAGTGCGTGGTCTCAATCATATTAGGCACCCCCACCAACATACCAGAACTCCCACATTCTACTTACTACCTACAAAACTCATGATTCTGTGTCCCATCCAATAGGTGCCGACTTTCAAAAACGTCAAGACAGCAGAGAGCTTTGGCCAAGAAGAGTCCCTACGTGACAAGTACAACTTCATCAACAAGGTGGTGAACCGATGCCCAAACGATGACCTGCTTTGTATCAATTATTGATATTACAAAGTTTGATGTATTGAAAGTTGAAAGAGCGTTTCTAGCAACATAATGATTAATGAGAGGATTTAGGAGTAGTGCAGCAGTTAGCGTCGTCTCAATCATATTTGGCGCCCTCACCAACATTCTATCTACTACCTCAAGAACTCATGATTCTGTGTCCGCTCCAATAGGTGCCGACTTCCAACAACGTCAAGATAGCAGAGAGCCTTGGCCAAGAAGAGTCCCTACGCGACAAATACAACTTCATCAACAAGGTGGTGAACCGGTGCGCGAACGCTGTGTTCTATCTGGAGATTCGTGATCCGCACAGAAAGGACCTGGAGACGGGAGAGCCGATGATAACCTCCAACGGGTCGGGATTCCTCATAAGTGACGACGGTTGGGCGTTGACCAATGCGCATGTGGTGCTCAACAAACCGCAGTCGACCATCAGAGCCATCATGAGGGATGGCAGAAGTTACAAGGTGAGATCTACGTAATAGGGTAGTTCTTGAATTCCTGATTATTTGTGAATGCTCATCAGAGTTCGCAATTTACTTAGTGTTACACAACCTGTGTTTTTGGGAAGATCTGATCGAATTACTTGCAGTTTTCGGTTCGATATCAGATGGTAAATCCTATTAACCTCAAGGAAATGTCAGGAAACATCAATGATAGACAATATGGCTTTCACCATGTATAGCAAGCTCCTTTAGGAAACATCGGGGATCTCTAGCTGTGGCGTTGGATATATCAAAGGCATTCGACCGTGTTTGGCACCGAGGACTCCTCCACAAACTACCATCATACGGCTCACCACCTCAGCTCTGCAATCTTTCATCGAGTTTTCTTTCAGGCAGATCGCTCCAAGTGGTGGTGGACGGTGTATCGTCTAATACTACTGCCACCTATTTCAGTGTTCCACAAGGATCAATTTTGGCACCGACATTGTTCCTACTTCATATCAATGATCTGTTGGGAGCAACCACTCGCTCTCTCCCTATACTGCGTTTTTTTCCTGGAAAATCAACATCCTAGCTGAATTCAACGCCATCAAAACTAGAACCTGTATATTCTCTAGAAATGCAGAACTCATTAGGTGCCAAAAAATGTCCCACCTGATAACGATCTATACCTAAATGTATGTGGCCGCTCTATCCATAGAAGGTGCAGAAACCATGTGATAAACAATTCTAGAGTACAAGAGCTGCATCTGCCTGAAAGCTGTGTATGCATACATTCTTACTTTCATATTGATTACACTGAGACAATGAACATAAAATATAGGCACAAAACATCACATCTTGGATTTGCTGGTCATCATTCGCTATAGCGTCAACTTAAGCGTGGGACGTTGCAAACGCGAATTCGAACAAGAACAACGAAATCGAAAAGCAATACTCTCAATATCCTGAGAAGACCTTTTTGGAAAGTGCATATTACGTCTCTGAGAAACATCTTCTCATGCCAACATTTCCAAAACATCCCAGGGATGTCTGTGCTTGCTGGGAGATGTTCACATATTGCCCCATCCTTGCATAGAGATGTTCACAAAATGCTTCATCTGTGCCGAGCAGCTGCTGCTTGTGTTCCCATCATCAAGAAGAACACCAATTCCTTCCTTATTTCCCTTGGTGCTCACGATATTCTCTGAACATTACACGATATCCCTTTTCGTGGGAACCAGAACATAAAAAAAATGATGAGGTTGAAAACTGGAGAGTGAAGAGGATGCCATCCAAGACAAGTGGAAGATTGGTGAGTATTCTCAGGTACCTCGGATTCGCAATCCCGCACTCACGACTCGTGAGCATCTGAGGAATAGTAGTTAAGGGACTGGAGGCATGTTACCTCAAGGATGAGTCAACTTCCAGCTATAACCAAATTAACTGTTTAATCTTCTGTTCGATTTGGTTGATTAGTTATATCTAAGTTATTTGAACTTGCTTACACTACACACTGTTCTACCACTGATAAAACCGATTTTTCACACCTCGACACGTGTTTCGATAACTATGTAAGCATCTTCAGAAGATTCAAACTAAATGTTCTATCCTAATGTGCTACTTATAAACTGGGTATATGTCCACCCAACCGTGAAAGACAATAACCGCCAAGTTGATATTAGTCATCGTTGAGTTCACATGTTAAACTATACAGAGGGCTAAATGGGATAGGTTTATCATCCTTATTCATAACTTTATTACTATTCCTGAATATCTTTAAGCTGTCATATGCATCTGATTTCCTAAAATTTTTACCTTGTTTAACTAATTTGAGGTTATTAATTACTGTGTTATGATTGTGATTGAACATGTATTTGGGTACACAAGATATATCTAACCTAGTATATTCCGAATGTGCTAAGTGTTCTTTGCACCTTGTTTTTATGGAACGCCTTGTTTGGCCAATAGATGTCATTACAACTAATTTCATATATTTCTGACATTTCAAGTGTGTCCACTTCATCTTTCTGATAAATTGCCTGATTTTGACCCAGACTGATAAACGCTTTCAAAACCAAAGTCTTTGAAAACCTTATCAACCCCTCTTGTGTACTTGGGATTAAACGGGATTGTAATTTTTCTCGGATTGTTTTTATTCGCTTGAAAGATCGTAGAATCCCTAAGTGTTAACTTTCATTTATATCTACGAACTTGCTTGTTGGCAGAGGTTTCACAAATGTCCTCAGAATGTGACGCCTCTCTTATATACAGAGGAAACAATCAAACTGACTGTATCTCATCAAAAACTTACTCTTCAATATTTCTTATGTAGGTGCAAGTGGAGGACGCAGACATGAGCATAGACCTGGCCTTATTGAAACTGGACGCTGTGGAGAAACTACCCAGCTTGCAGTTTGCAACACCAGGTGACACTTCCATCGGGGAGTGGGTGGTGGCTTTGGGAAGTCCCTTGTCCCTGAGCAATTCAGTTACAGTCGGAATTGTGAGTATAAATGATAGATTTTTTTCATTCTGTTCATTAAATCGCTATACCTTCACTTATAACGTATGACCTCGAAGTAGTCAACCAATAGAAATTGGAAATGTGGGAAGGGTGAACGCTACAGCGCGATACCGGAAAATGATGATTATCGCGGTGGGGGAACGCTACAGCGCGAGACCGCGGGTACTGTCTAAAGAGAATTTATGGCAGAGAGCTCCACTCCTGGAGAAAAATATCATCGAAATAGCGAATTCCTATCAGCCTCAACAGTAAAACATACCTTCAACACATTTCTTTTTCAGGGAGTAAGGAGAATATCCCTACTGCATAAGAAAGGATACTACTTTTCATAAACAAACTATCCTCTCACTTGTCCTTAATAAACCGTTTTTCTGAAATGAATATTTTTCGGAGAATCACTCGAGAAAACAGAATAAAAAAAGTCTCAGGCATTGAGCCGGGGTTGCCGGTGTGGGGCTCTAAAGCTCAAGCAACTACGCCATGCACGTACCTGAAGACTGGTGCATCATAATTTAGTCGCTCTACCACCGCGATAATGATTTTTTTCTCCTGTCTGTAAGCGATAGTAAACATCCTCAGTATTGCCAAACAAATGATATGATACGTGGTAATGTCATGTAGCTATTATATAAGATAGTAGTTTTTATATTGATAGCAAATTTACATATCAGTTACATAATAGTTACGTTAAATTTTCATATAAATATGGGGTTCACATATTTAAGAATTGTTATGGAATATTGGAAAATGGAAAAAACATATACAGAAACAATGTCAATTGCGTTATCTACCAAAATAAAACATCTGGAAGTTTTTCAACAAAAGACGGACTGAGACAGGGAGGAGGACTGAGCCCCATATTGTTCACTATATACATCGACGAGGTAATTAAGAAATGCACAGCTAGAGTGAAAAAACTACATGTGGGATACAGATTCTTGAGAAGAACTGATATATCAGAAGGAGCCTTTGCTGACGACTTAGTAATTATCGCGGAAAAAGAAAAGGACTTGCAGAGAAATATGGAGATATGGAATATGGTACTTGAAGAATATGGAATGAAATTGAATACCAATAAAACGAAAGTGATGGTGATAGCAGAACAACAAAAAGATATTAATATACAACTTGATGGAATAAATATTGAGCAAGTGAAAAGATTTAAATACTTGGGAGTAGACATAGAAGACAGTGGAAGACAAGACAAGGAAATCAATAGCAGAATAGAAAAAGCCCTGAACTTATATTATGCAATGAACAAATCATTTATAAACAAGAGGGAAGTTACAAGAAAAACAAAGATAAATGTATTCAAAACAATTTATAGACCAATCCTGACATTCGGTTGCGAATCCTGGGTATTGACTAAGAAACAAAAAAGTAAAATACAAGCCATGGAAATGAAATATCTAAGAAGAGTTAAAGGGGTAACAAGGAGAGATAGAATTAGAAATATAAGAATAAGAGAAGAACTAGAGGTACAACCAACACTCGAATTCATAGAAAAACGTCAAATGAGCTGGTGGGGACACCTACAAAGAATGAACGATGCAAGGCCGGTAAAACAGGTATGGGAAGCAAAAATACAAAATAGGAAGAAACGATGAGGAAGACCAAGACAAACATGGGACGGAGCAATGGGAGAAATTTTAAGAAAGAAAGGGAAAACATGGGAAGAGGCAAAGATTATGACAAGAAATAAAAAGGAATGGGCCAAATTTGTACATGAAACTCTGTGAAATAGTATAATTATTGTATAAATTATGTAACCCACCCTACACCATCATATGGTAACAGGGATTTTGATAATATATATATATATATATATATATATATATATATATATATATGGAATATTTACGTAAATATTCCATATAAATTTTCACATTTTTTAGAGTTATTATGGAATATTCACGTGAATATTTTATATAAAAAAAGATCCGTTGATGTTATATGACAGTTATATGTAGATAAAACAGATGTGTTTGCTGGGATTTGTTCACTGTCTGAAATACGCCTATTACCAGGTGAGTTGTGTGGATCGTCCTGCTGAAGACCTCGGCCTGAAGAACTATTCTATGACGTATATCCAAACGGACGCTTCTATTACTTTCGGAAATTCTGGTGGACCTCTAGTTAACCTCGACGGTAACGTCATCGGTATCAACAATTTACGATTGACGTCTGGCATCTCTTTCGCCATCCCTGTCGGTAAGTTAACTCTTGTAATATCCCAAGGCTATTGATAATAGTGGCTTACATTTTCACTCTCACCAGTAATGGTGCTCTTGTCGAAATGCAAGGTGTGTAATAGTTATTTATGTATCAAGGGCGTAAAGTAGGCGTTTATGGCCTGTGGCGTGAATAATGGCCCGATGGCGCTGAAGGCCATAAACGCATTTCACGCACGAGATACATACAAAATTTTATGCACTAGTGGTTTATTTTATGACTCATAAGTAATGACTATAGATTTCGATAAACTAATATTCCCCAGAATTTAATTTGTTACGTATAAATTCAGTAATCAAGAGAAGCGTAATATTCATAGATGATTTACATATGAAAATTATCGTACGAATATTGCAATTATCGTAATAGTAAAACTCTTTCAGCTGTAGAAGAGATTCATTCTTCAGAATTTTACAATATGCATACCCAGTATATAAACCTAACTCATTTTGACGTTGTCAATCAATCTGATGGTTGTTGTCTATAGCAATACATCCAATAAACGAGATGAATTGTCATTCTTTGATTGAAAAGTAAAATTAGTGATAATAATAATAGCGAGACTATGGAATCGGATGAAGAAGAAGTTTATGATATACCGCTGGATATATAAGAATCTAGGAATATGATCATAGGTTTTTTATAAATTGATATGTGGATATAAGGTGACTGAGAACAGCGGGCGGTAAAGTGCGACTTAACGCCCGCAAAACCGGGCGGTAAAGTGCACTTTACGGCCCGCTAGTGCATAAAGTAATAAATGTGAATATTAAAGAACACTAACAGTTGTCATTTCAGTGTGTGGACTCTCATCTAACTGATACCATGCAGTGACTCTTGGTTCAAATTACATGGAAACAATTTTCTCTGAAGTATACTTACTAATTATTCATTTGCAGCTTATGCCAAGAGATTCTTGGAAAATGGCAAGCATCGCATCAAGGCAAGCAGCACCTCTGTAGGCCCCACAGGCAAACTCTTATTCGGAATCACGACCATCTCTATTTCACCAGATATACTGGGCGACTTACTCAGAGAGAACAATAATATCCCGAAGGACGTGGAACAGGGACTGCTGGTATGGAAGGTCCTAGCTGGAAGTCCGGCAGCAGAGTAAGTTAATCAGAGCAATCCATTAGAGTAGATAGCCTTGATGAGAGGCAACTTTTCCCCATTTTGAAAGCATGTTAGGCAGTGTCTGGGATATGGAGCTTTTCAATTCTCTTTATTTTCTTGGCACAGTCATTTTTGTGATATTTGAAACCTCATAAACCAGACACATACATTTCAATTTCATAAGGAAATTCGGAACACTAGATAGGCAGATTGATACTTACTCAATATTATCATGATTGAAGAATCCATCTTCTATATCATCAATTGAGAATACTCCTGCCATCATAAATACGACCGGGGTGAGGAGCTCAATAATTCGACAACAGACCAGAGAGAAACAAAACAGACCCTATCACTAGAGTCACATATAATAATTGTTGATATAGACGTTCCCAGAACATCCACTAGGGAAACAAGTAGCAAAGAACTACAACTCGTTAGTGTTCAACTGGTTCTAGACATCTTACCGTCACAAGGCCATAATCGTAGTTTCAACTGACGGTTACTCAGCATAGGAAAATCATCGGCCCATTACCAATACCCCGACATCGTCACTTTCCCAGACATGCCTGCACTAGGCCAGACTAATAATAATAAATAATTGAATCTCTAGTGGTATCACGATTGAAAATATTATTCTTATCATCATCAGTAGGATTCGAAAAGTATTTATATTTTTGTTATTTTTGACACAACAAAGTTGGGGAATCCCTATAATGTTCAAAGAACATCGTGCGTTCTTAGGGAGGATAGGGACAGGAGGTAGGTATTGGAGTTTTTTTTTTTTTGAACTTCTGGAGATTATATGTTGTTGGGAATACTTCCACAGGCAATGAATTCCAGAGCCTAGCCGTTCTATGGATGAAGAAGTCTTGATAAAGTGCTGTTCGACATCTTTCGAGGTGGACAACGAAAGGATGTGCTGACTGGGCTTGTCTAGTTCGTCTGATTGGTATTGCTAGTGAAGGGATGATAGCAGAGAATTCCGAAGAACATTTCCCGTGAAAGTATCGATAGAAAAGTGAAAGGTCGCTGACCTGTCTACGGTGTTCCAATGATGTCAAAGAGTGGGGGAGTGTGGTGTCACCCACCAGACGAATTGCTCTTCTCTGGATGGAGTCTAAGTGCATCATTCTGAAACAGGCCGTATCAGCGCTTCGTAGATCATGAGAAGCTGTTGAGGTGTGAAGTAGCTTTTCGCACGGAACAAGAATCCGAGTTTTCGAGAAGCAGCTTTTGCGATGGATCTGACATGATTATCCCATGAAAGAGTGTTGCTGATGGAAATACCAAGCATAGATATGGTGGTCTTGGTGGAGATGATGGTGGAGCCAGACATAACAATATCGGGCATACTGAGTTCCGCCTTTCTAGAGAAAATACAGGCTTGAGTTTTGGTGGCGTTGAACTCAACTAGGTTGTTCGTTCCCCAGGCTGTGATGTCAGCAAGATCTTCATTGACAGCATTGACCTGCCTGCGCCGTGAGTTCTTAGTTTCCTGGGAAGAAATGGGAATTCTGGAAGAGAACGCAGTATGGAGGGTACTATCATCTGCAAAGCTGTGGATGGGGCAAGTTGTTACTCCCAACAGATCATTGATATGGAGAAGGAATAATGTTGGTGCCAAAATTGATCCTTGTGGAACGCCGGAATTGATGCCAATGGTATCAGACGATACGCCGTCCACCACCACGTGAAGCGATCTGCCTGAAAGAAAACTCGATAAGAGATGGCATAGCTGAGGTGGTAAGCCGTATGATGGTAGTTTGTGGAGCAGTCCTTCGTGCCGAACACGATCTGTTGTATTGCCTCAGTTATCACTTCATACTTTCACTTTTACTATCTCATCATGATATTTTTCTATTATAATTCACCAGCATCTGGATCTTGTCTTCGTCCAAAGCTAAAACTGAAAAGTTCAAATACTTCATTATTTTTATGTTTTTAATAGTTATCCAGAATTTCTCTTAGATGTGAAATGAATGATTTCATCGACAGAAAGTTTATTATTGGATCGTACTTAGCTGATTGGTCTCACATTATTCGATAGGTATAGGTAGGTAGGTAGGTATAATAAATGGCGACCGTGACAGGACCTCATAGATCAGGAATGGAAAATATCAAGAAAGAAAGAGAACTGATAAGAAAACACTTTTCCAAAATATGTAAGGAGTTAGACCTGATACTACAAGATAAGGAAGCAAGCAAGCAAGATCTGTTGGCCGTTTCCAGGCAGTTAGAAGACAAAGGCGACAGATTGTTAAGAGCAGACGAAGTTATCAGGGAGCTATTCCTCTCTTCAGAAATAGATGATGCAGCATTTGAAGAGGAATATAATGGAACTGAATTCTACAGAGAAGAATTGATAAAATACAGATCAAGATGTGAATTCTTCCTGAAAAAAGAAACAATGGATGATCAATGCAGTTCACATAGTTGGAGGAGCGATAAGAACAACAGAAAATTCCGTCTTCCGAAGATAGAGTTGAGGAAATTCGATGGCAATGTTAAAAACTGGATTGGTTTTTGGGGACAATTTAAGAAGATTCACAACGACGAAGAAATAGATTTGGAAGATAAATTTCAATACTTACTTCAAGCTATGGAGCAGGGATCTATTGCAAGAGAATTGGTCGAGAGTTTTCCTCCGTCAGGAACGAATTATCAAATTGCTATTGACCAGTTGAAGACTAGATTCGCTAGGGATGAATTCCTTGTGGAAGTTTATGTAAGAGAGTTGTTGAGCTTAGTTTTGAAACAAGCGATGAAAAATACAGGTATGACACTTTCTCAATTATACGATAAGTTAGAAACACAGTTGCGGTGTTTAGAAACACTTGGGGTTACGAAAGAAAAATATGCAGCTATGTTATTTCCACTTGTTGAGTCAGCATTACCGGATGATCTATTAAAAGTTTGGGAGAGACACAGAAATGCTAACACGAAGAAATTTACAGGAAATGATGTTGTTGAAAATACTGATAATTTATCTATGTTACTAGATTTTCTCAGAAGCGAAGTGGAATCCGAAGAGAGAATCAATTTAGCTCAAGCGAGTTTCAGTAAGGATTATCAAAGTAAATACAAGTCTACAACAACAACTGTCAAACAACAGAAACATACAGGTGAAAATGAATTATATACCGCAGCAGCTTTGTATTCTGCCAGTTCCAAAGGAGTAGAAAATGATGGTAAGAAAATTCCATTATGTTTATTTTGTGACAAGGCGCATACAAGTCAGGATTGTATTAAAGCACAGAAATTGTCTCTTGACGAGAGAAAAACCTTGATCATGAACAAAAAGGGTTGTTTTGCATGCTTGAAACAAAATCATACAAGTAAAAACTGTAGAAATTTCGTTAAATGTGTAGTTTGTTCAAGAAAACATTATCCTATTATGTGTCCTAATTTGATTGCTAAGATTGAGAAAAATGTTGAAAAAGAAGAAAAATCAGTCGAGAACGTTTTGACGAGCAGTTACAAAACAACAGTTTTATTGCAAACTATCATTGTGAGGGTATCCAACAATAATAAAGACAAATGTATTCGAGCTATGTTGGATTCCGGCTCACAACGTTCGTATATTTTGACTTCATGTACTGAAGAGTTGAAATTGAATAAAATAGATGAAGAAACAATTGTTCAAGGAGTGTTTGGTGGTCATCAATCTTTACCGAAAATACATGGTATATATGATATCAAAATAAAGAGTCTATACAGTTCTTACGAATGCAACATGAAAGTTACAGATCAGAATAAAATTTGCAATAATATACCGCGGCTCGATGATAGTTCTTGTATCGATTATTTGAAGAGCAAGAATATCATAATATCTGATGTCGATGTCAATGATGCTCCACAGGAAATTGAATTACTACTGGGTGGAGACATCTTTGGTAAATTATTAACAGGAAATACAGAAATTATCAATAATGATTTAGTTGCTATAGAAACGTATCTTGGATGGACGATAATTGGAAAATATGAATCAGTAAATAGAAATGAAAATTTATTTTCTGGCTTCACCGATTTTTCAATATCTGACTTATGGAATTTAGAAATATTAGGAATCAAAGAATCAGCTGAAGTAAAATCTAAAGAAATTCTGGAAGAAAATACTTTGAAACACTTTTTGGAAACTGTTAAATGTGATGACAATAATAGATATGAAGTTCAATTGCCATGGAAAGAAGGTCATCCAACTCTTTTAAGTAACGAAGAATTAGCGCGTAATAGGCTTTTGTCTAATACTAGAAGGTTGTTGAAGATCGGAAAATTCGAAGATTACCAGCAGGTATTTACAGAATGGGAGAGGTTAGGAATTATTGAACGTGTGAATGATAATTCTGAAAATAAAAATGGAGTTCATTACTTACCTCATCATGCAGTCATCAAAGAAGCAAGTACAACGACCAAGGTACGTCCTGTATATGATGCCTCGGCCAAAGACAAAATGGGTCATTCATTAAACGATTGTTTGGAAAAAGGGCCTAACTTTCTAGAACTGATTCCTAACTTATTGATTAAATTTCGTACTGGCCCTATCGGTGTGGTTTCTGACATTGAAAAAGCATTTTTACAAATAAGTGTCAATCAGAGAGATAGAGATTACTTGAGATTTTACTGGTGGAAGGATCATGCATCGGGACAAATGCAGGTTTATAGACATTGTAGAGTTGTATTCGGTGTCAAACCAAGTCCATTTCTTTTGACAGCCACCATTAATCATCATTTAGATAACGTTCCGAAACAATTCATAGAAACAGCGAGGAAGCTGAAAAATTCTTTTTATGTCGACAATTGTGTTGCCAGTGTAGATACCGAAAAACAATTGACGAAATTCATCGAGGAGTCCAAATATTTGATGTCTACTGCTCAATTCAATCTGAGAGGATGGACTCATAATCTAATATCAAATGATACTTCTTCCGAAGAAATTGTTGGCGTGTTAGGTCTACTTTGGAATGTTAAAGAAGATACTCTTTATTGCGACATTG